CCCCCCTCTCTCTTAGGTTGACAAATTTTTTCCCAAGATATCAGATGTTGCTTCCTATTGCCTTCACTGCTCCCCCAGATGAACGCTCGAGCAATTTTATCTAGCTGAGACACGGTCGACATAGGTAGAGCTATCGAGCTCATAGTGTGGACCGGGATTGACAAGAGGACAGATTTAGTCAGAGTAATTCTTCCCGCTAGAGGAGTTTTAAAGCTTACGAAGAAGAAAACTTAATTATATTTGAACATAGTTTCTAAATTATTTTAGTTAAAAATATTTATTCCTTTTGTTGGTTACCATTTACAAGGACAATTTATTTCATTCCTTCTCTACATTTATTCCTTTTAGTTTTGTTCCTATTCATTCCAAATTTTTATTTTTTCAATCGGTCCTTTTATTCCTGAAATAGTCACCAGTAAGAGTCTAAGTGAATGCAATTTTCCTTATTGAAATCGTTCTGTTGGTTCTCAAAAGTAGTTGGTCATTCTTAAGTGGGAATTTATGAACCTAGTACATTTTCCAACCGGAGAAGACAAAATTATACTAATTCCTTGTGAATTTAAAGTATGTCTTAGTAAACTATGATTTTACGAATCTATTTAAGGATCAATGGGTAACAAAATAAAAACTAATTAAAATATAACTGCGACTTATTAAATTTTATGTATATAAAGAACAGATCAAAGTGGGAAAAAGTTATATAACAAATACATAGATAAATTCACCTGCATTTGTGTCTTTTTGCATTTGTTTTCCTGTATGATCTCTCTTGCTACTCGATTTCATGAAGATCACAAAACTTAGAGCAGTTCCAACGTTCAACTTTGGTAGAGTATCTGAAACTTAAAAGAAAAAAAAAATCGATCCTTTGCAGACATATTTCCTCTAACATTTTCAAGCTGTGTCTCCACATGTCTTTTTGGTGGTCAACATTCAGGTTTATTATGGACTTTCAACTTAAAACCAATTGGTGATTAGTGGATTGGCTCCAATCCTTTATATAGTTGTAGATGAATTTTTATATTTCCGATGTGAGATGTTTCTCATCAATACCTTCTGATTTTGTTAAATAAAAATATTTATTTTTAAAATTTTGAAGAACTTTTCAACCCACCGTTAAGGGCGCTCTTTGATCCACATTTTTTGAGTTTAACCTTTCTTCCCTGTGATTTTCGAAAAACCCCATCTGACTTGTTTATATGACAGCCTGTAAGCGTTACAACATCAGAACAAGTTAATTTTTTTTGCCCAAAAGAACCACCACAAACATTTATTACTTGCCATGATTCGTCCATCTTGCTGTCCTTAATTTTAAATTTTTAATCATGAAGTTTACTTCATACTCTCACTTGATTTCTTCTCCTCCAGCAACGAATAATATGTGCCCATCATGCACTGCTGTTTAGACTCAAATAGTACACGCCGTCTAACACCAGAAAGAGTATCGACATAAAATCCAGTGCACATGCTGATGATGCGTTGACCTTTTTTTAATCCAACCTTAAAACGTTTATGGATAAACCGACATTTGTTCACCTGTTGGGCCCTTTTTGTGTTGGCCTGGAGTAAGATAGGCATTGGATCAAGTAGTTCACATTAATTAAGTAAGATTTACATTTTTCTCACAGTATATACATTTTTTTTTCTCGTGATATACATTGTTTTGTTAAAGGGCGGTGATACACCAAACCCTAGTTCTATCTTTTTCGTTTGATATATATATATATATATATATATATATATATATATATATATATATATATATATGTGTGTATAAGCTCAATAATTTTTTTTACAGAAACCCTAAAAGATGGCGCCTCCAAAAGAAAAGAAACAAAAGCTTAGCACATCCGAAACCGTAAGTCCATCTCTCTCAAAGAAGGATCTAAAGAAGAAAAATAAGAAGAAGAAGAAGAAGGCGAGCCAACCACTAATAACCACAAGTCCCTCTCACTCAGAGAAAGATTTGGTAACCCTAAATCCCTCTTTAATCTCAAAGGCTAATGTGGAAAAAGCGATGAAGAACCAACACGACTCTGCTATGTTTCTTGCGGATAAAGTAATCTCTGCCGTAGCTGAAAACTCAAACTTCGTCTTCTCACCGGCATCAATCAACACCGCTCTCACCATGGTCGCTGCTAGCACACCATACGAAACACTAAGATCCTTCATCTTATCCCTCCTTCGATCTTCTTCAGTGGATGAGCTCAAAGATGTTTACAGCGAGATCGCTACCATAGTCCTAGCCGACGGCAGCGCAAGCGGTGGCCCTAAGATCTCAAACATCAATGGAGTGTGGACGGAGCAGTCGCTTGGTGTTGATCCCTTGTTGAAGGATCTCTTTGAGAATTTCTTCAAGGCTCCTTGCGCTCTAGTTGATTTCAGATTCAAGGTTAGTTTCACTCAATTGCTTTGATTAGATTAGGTTAAGTGCTCGTGTGAAACTGTATTGCGTTAATAAGATTTTGTGAGTCTATCTCTGATCAAAGATAGATTAGGTTTAAGTGTTTGTGTGAAAGTACTGTATTAGGTTACGAGTTTGTGGAATCTATCTTTTTTATCATACATAAATTAGGTTAAGTTTGTGGAATCTATCTTTTTTATCATACATAAATTAGGTTAAGAGTTTGTGTTAAACTGTTAAGTTTTTTTTGTGAAACTGTATTAGGTTAAGTGTTTGTGTGACACTATAATAGGTTAAGAGTTTGTGAACCTATCTCATTATCATATGTACATTTTTTAGACATGCAATTTCTGATAAATCAGTTTTATTTGAAACACAGGCAGAAGAAGTGCGCAAGGAGGTGAATGATTGGGGCTCAAAGCACACCAATGGTCTCATCAAAGATATTCTTCCTGATGGAACCGTTTCAAGTGACACCATTTCTATATTTGGAAACGCACTCTACTTCAAAGGAACCTGGGAAGAAAAATTCCCAAAGTCTTTGACAAGTGACCAAGAGTTTCACCTTCTCAATGGCAAATCAGTCACTGTGCCTTTCATGATGAGCCATAAGAAGCAATACATTGAGCAGTACAACGGTTTCAAGGTCCTTAAGCTGCCATTTCAACAATGCAATGACACGAATCGCCAATTCTCAATGTATTTCTATCTACCTGACGCCAAGGATGGATTGAATGGTCTGGTGAAGAGGGTTGCATCATCATCTGGATTCTTTGATAGTCACACTCCAAGAAAACAAGTTGAAGTTGGTCAGTTCAGAATCCCAAAGTTTAAGATAGATTTCGGGTTTGAGGCTTCAAAGGCTTTCTATGGATTGAATCTGCAGGATTCGCTTAACCTGCACCACAAAGCTTTGGTTGAGATTGATGAAGATGGTGCAGAGGCTGCAGCTGTTACTGTTGTCGTTATGTTTGGTGGTTGTAGCTTTCAAAGGAGGATAGATTTTGTGGCTGATCATCCATTTCTTTTTATGATTAGAGAAGACAAAACTGGAACCGTTCTGTTCGTTGGTCAGATCTTTGATCCTTCTCAATCTGCTTCTGCTTAGGACTTTTGAAGTTTTATCTTCTTTTCCTGTTTATAGTACAGTTATGATTCCCTATTTTTATATTTGGTTTTGGTTTTGAACATTATGTTTTCTGATGTTTGTTTGATGATTAGTATGATTGCAAAGGCAGCTTTTTTTTTTTGAACACCATTGCAAAGGCAGCTAATAGTCATTATTATAACGTGCATCTCTCTAATCCATAAGACAAATAAAGTGAAAAAAAGGGAACAGAGAAAGGATATAAAATATAAGGGAATAAATGCAAGCCAAAATTTGATGCCTTGTGTAGGGTTCCATTAAAAGTATAATTGTTTCTTCATCTGCATCACCTCCATGAAGCATAGCATACCATCACCTTATGGAAATTTTCAGTTGTATTTAGCACACATTTATTCTGTGAGCCACTCAGTAGACTTTCAAAAGTTGTTAGACATCATTAACACCAGTCTCTTAACTGGGCTTCTTAGTTTCAGTTAAGAATCGTTTCTTAGTTTTTTTTTCCAGATTTTAACTAAGAAAAACTAAGAACAATCTCTTAAATAGTAGTTTCTTAACCTGAAAATATATAAAAAAATGTTAAATTATGAGTTAATAACCCCGGCTAAGAGACGGGGTTAATCATGCCCTTGGTCTGCTACAAAATGTAGACTTAACTATGCCGAGTATCCGTAGATTAATATAAATCTGCTAGACCAGCATTTAAAAACTACCAAAAATATGTACACTTATTGTTAATCTGCTGATTAATAGTAGACAACATATAAGTATTTGTATTTTGCTTTTCATGTTTTCCAATGGCTTGCATCCTTGATGCAAATCTACTAAACTGTTATATTTCTCTTTGTCTCAGCAACTCCACATCGACATATATCCTACGTTTCATTGATTTTCTCTTCAATAATTAGCGTACAAATTTTCTAAATATTTTTCTTTGTCCAATGATTCTCTGCGTCCGCCTTGTAAGTTGTAACAAAGAGAAATATAACAGTCGACGTAAAACGTTTATAAGTAGGATTAACTGACATTGTTCACCTGTTGGCCCTTTTCTGTGTTGGCCTGGAATAAGATAGGTATTGGGCCAATTTGTTCACACTTCACATTAACTAAGATTTACATTTTTCTCGTAATTAATACACATTAAAAGTAAATATACATTTCTGTTACTTCTAAAAGGCGGTGATACACCAAAACCTAGGTGTATCTTTATCGTTTGATATCTTCTCTCTATATATATATGTATTTATAAGCTCATTATTGTTTTTACAGAAACCCTAAAAGATGGCGCCACCAAAAGAAAAGAAACAAAAGCTTAGCACATCTGAAACCGTAAGTCCATCTCTCTCAAAGAAGGATCTAAAGAAGAAAAAGAAGAAGAAGAAGAAGGCGAGCCAATCACTAATAACCACCACAAGTCCCTCTCACTCAGAGAAGGAATTGGCAACCCTAAGTCCCTCTCCAATCTCAAAGGTCAATGTGGGAAAAGCCATGAAGAATCAAAACGACGTTGCTATGTTTCTTGCGGATAAAGTAATCTCTGCCGTAGCTGAAAACTCAAACTTCGTTTTCTCTCCTGCATCAGTCAACGCCGCTCTCACCATTGTCGCAACTAGCTCAGAAGACGAAACAGTAAGATCATCCATCTTATCCTTCCTTAAGTCCTATTCAATGGATGAGCTCAAAGCTGTCTACAGCGAGATCGCTACCAAAGTCCTCGCCGACGGAAGCGCAAGCGGTGGCCCTAAAATCTCGAACATCAATGGAGTGTGGAAGGAGCAGTCGCTAGGTGTTGATCCCTTGTTGAAGGATCTCTTTGAGAATTACTTCAAGGCTCCTTGCGCTCTAGTTGATTTCAGATTCAAGGTTGGTTTCCCTTGCTTTTATTAGATTAGGTTAAGAGTTTGTTGAATCATACATAAATTAGGTTAAGACTTAAGAGTTTGTGAGTCTATCTCTCTTTGATCATAGATGTTTCTTTCTCTTTGATCATAGATAGAATAGGTTAAGTGTTTGTGTGAAGCTGTATTAGGTTAAGAGTTTGTGCATCTATCTCATTTTTTATTTTTTTTTTATTTTTTTTTAAACCCTCATAATAGACACGTACATATATGTACATTTTCTAGCCATGCAATTTCTGATAAATCAGTTTTATTTGAAACATAGGCTGAAGAAGTGCGCAAGGAGGTGAATGCTTGGGCTTCAAGGCACACGAATGGTCTCATCAAAGATATTCTTCCTCCTGGATCCGTTACAAGAGACACCGATTCTATATTTGGAAATGCACTCTACTTCAAAGGAACCTGGGAAGAAAAATTCCCAAAGTCTTTGACAAGAGACCAAAAGTTTCACCTTCTCAATGGTGGATCAGTCACTGTGCCTTTCATGATGAGCCATAAGATGCAATACATTGAGCAGTACAACGGTTTTAAGGTCCTTAAGCTGCCATTTCGACAATCTGGTGACATGAATCGCCAATTCTCAATGTATTTCTATCTACCAGACGCCAAAGATGGATTGAATAGTCTGGTCAAGAGGGTGGCATCATCCAAAGCTGATGGGTTCTTGGATAGTCACACTCCATGGAAACAAGTTGAAGTTGGCCAGTTCAGAATCCCAAAGTTTAAGATCGATTTCGGGTTTAAGGCTTCAAGGGCTTTCGAAGGATCAGATCTGGCTTCGCTTTCGCTGTACCATAAAGCTTTGGTTGAGATCGATGAAGATGGTGCAGAGGCTGCGGCTGTTACTGTTTTTTTAAGCTGTGGTGGTAGAGGCTTCAGCAGTGGTAGGAGGATAGATTTTGTGGCTAATCATCCATTTCTTTTTATCATAAGAGAAGACAAAACAGGAACCGTTTTGTTCGTTGGTCAGATCTTTGATCCCTCTAAATCTGCCTCTGCTTAGGAGTTAGGACCTACCGGATTATGGTTTTACCATTTGGTGCACATGATCGCCGGTTACATTCTTTTGAAGTTTCATTTTCTTTTCCTGTTTATGGTACAATTATCTCTGGCTGATTCCAGATGAGCACAAATTAAAAGTCAAAATTATACAATTCTTACAAGTCATTTTGAAACATATCATTACCAACCAAACCCTAAACCTAAACATCTTAGACTGTTCTCAGATTATCAAACCTATAGCGGAACATTAGAGACCTAAACTCAAGATGATTGAATTAAACAAAGTCAAATGAGATTGATGGTTTTACTTTTCAGTAACACATATGAGTGAATGAGAGGTCTCTGTAGCTATAAGTCCATCGATGTTAAAAGATGAAGAGACAGTACCTGGTAACAACATATGCAGCTTTTTGGATGAGTGTATTGTAATATAATATATTTCAACATTTTCAGTTTCTACCATCCACATCGAATCCAGAACCTGTCCAACCCCCTCTGCCTTTATTCATGATTCCAATTCCTCTTCCCCTTCCTTGAATCTGTGGTTTCTTTTTCGCTTTTGATTCTCCATCAGCTGTTGCTGGCTTCTGTCCTTGTTCTTTACCTCCCTCTTCCTTCCCGTGGTTATTCTCTTGATGAGCCTGATTGGCACTGGTTGCTGCTGGTGAGCTGTCGGCTCCAGATTTAGTCTCCGGTTCATGGACCTAATCAGAAACATTCAACATCATTTATGTATCCGCTTATCAACAAGCAAATAGATTTAATTTTCTTGTATTAAACATGGTTAGAAACAAACCCAAGCAGGATTTTATCGAGTGTGTCTCTTTTGTTAGAAGAAGTTGCATCAGGAAAAACAAACGG